GCCGGGCGCGGTGGCTCACGCCTGTAATCCCAGCGCTTTGGGAGGCCGAGGCGGGCGGATCACAAGGTCAGGAGATCGAGACCACGGTGAAACCCCGTCTCTACTAAAAATACAAAAAATTAGCCGGGCGCGGTTGTGGGCGCCTGTAGTCCCAGCTACTCGGGAGGCTGAGGCAGGAGAATGGCGTGAACCCGGGAGGCGGAGCTTGCAGTGAGCCGAGATCGCGCCACTGCACTCCAGCCTGGGCGACAGAGCGAGACTCCGTCTCAAAAAAAAAAAAAAAAAAAAAAAAAAAAGAACAGCTTAAAAAATTACAGCTAATCAAGATAATGTATTGACATAAAAACTGTCCAATAATACAATTAAATGGAATGGAGGGTACAGAAACAGATCTCCACATAGCTGAATAACTAATTCTCAACAAAGGTACAAAGGAAATTAGTGAAGGCGTATTCTTTTCAGCAAATGGCGCTGAAACAACTGGATTATCCAGATGCAAGAAAAGTGAATTTTGATCTAGACCTTATACTATATTAAAAAGTAACTTTAAAATGTACCACAGATATAAATGTAAAACCTAAAACTATAAAGCCAAAAGAAAACATGACCTTGGGTTTGGCAAGGAATATTCAGTTATGACACCAAAAGTATAATCCATAAAAATGTAAATAAAGAGGCTTTGTCAATATTAAAAACATCTGCTCTTCAAAAGATCCCATTAAGAGAACTTAAAGACAAGCCACAGGCTAGAAGAAACCACTTTCAAATCCCATATACGACAATGTACTTCTATCAGAATTCATAAAGAACTCTGAAAATTCAACAACAACAAAACAACTCAATTTTTTTTTTTTAAAAAAAGCAAACAAAAGATTTGAACAGACACACAGATACACAGAAGAGGAATATATAAATATCACAAATAAGCACGTGAAAACATGATCAACATCATGAGTCATTAATGAAATGCACATTAAAACCATAATGAGATACCACTACCTACCTGTTAGAGCTGCTAAAGTTAAAAATGCTGACTATACCAATTGTTGTCCAGCTTATGGAAGAATTAGAACTCTAATATACTGGGTGGAAATGTAAAATGATACAATCACTTTGGAAAATTGTTTGACAGTTAAATGTACATGTATTGTCTTGGTCCATTTGGGCTGCTGTAACAAAATACCATAAACTAGGTAGCTTATAAACAGCAGAAACTTATTTCTCATAGTTCAGGAGGCTGGGAAGTCCACAATAAAGGTGACAGATTTGATGTCTGGTGAAGACCTGCTTTGCAGTCCCTAGATGGCAACTTCTTACGGTGTACTCACATGGTAGAAGGGGCAAGGCAGCACTCCATGACCTAATCACTCCCCAACAGCCCCGCTTACTAAGACTAACACATTGATGATTAGGTTTCGACACACAGATTTAGGGAAAACACAGACACTCAGACCACAGCACCTACTAATTTATCCAGCCATTTTACTGCTAGGTGTTTACCAAGAAAAAATGAAAACACGTGTCCATGCAAACACTTGTACAATATTTTCATAGTAGCTCTATTTATAATATCAAAAAATTGGAAACAACTCAGATATTTATCCACAGTCAAATACATAAACAAACTATAGTATATAAATAAAAATAATAAAAAGAATTAACTATTGATACATACTATAATTTAGCTGAATCTCAAAATAATTATGCTGAGTGAGAGAAACCAAATGATAAAAGCATATACTGTATTATATACAATTCTAAGAAATAAAAACTAATTTATTTGGCATCCAGATCTTCCTTTCTATACCAGCTTCTGATAAGAAGTCTCAAACTTCCTTGGGTAAATGGCTGATTCTACAACTGGGGCTGTGAGCCTGTAGCATCTTGTAATAACACAGAGTAAGAAGGTCCACACATACACACAATACGGAGAGTGGGTCAAGGAGCACAGGAGTCAACTGAAAAAGCTCCCAATGCCAAACCTGGAAAAATGTGAGCAACAAAGTATTCATGAATCCATACAGATATAAAGAAAAGACTGAATAAAGAAGTAAATGGGGGAGAAGCAGCAAATCTTCCACACAGAATTCCAAATAAATTATGAAGATACTCCACTCTAAAGGAGGGCTAGCATAACACCCTACTCCCCTACACTTCCTTAAGTGACTCATAATGATTTCCTTCCAAAGAGTAAAGAGGATGCAAAGAGGGAAAAAAGAGTAACTATGCAATGGAGAAACCTGACAAACACTACTTCAGCCAGGTGATGGAGAACAACATTAACAGTCATAAGTCATGTTGACAATATGTACCCTTCATATGATGTAATAAATACAGCACATTACCTCTTTGATTTCCACCCCCTACCAAAACCCATAACCCTAGTCTACTCATGAAGATACATCAAATTCCAATAGAGGGGCATCTTGCAATATACCTCACCAGTATTCCCAAGGACTGTCAAGGTCATCAAATACAAGGAAAATCTGAGAAACTCTCACAGCCAAGAGGAGCCCAAGACATCATAACAATTAAATGTGGTGTCCTGGATGGAATCCTGGAAAGGAAAAAGGACATTAACTGCAAATGAAGAAATTCTAAATAAACTGTGAATATTAGTTAATAACAATGTATCAGTATTAGTTCATTAATTGTAACAAATGTACCCTATTAATTTAAAATGCTAACAGAGAAAATTGTACAAATGATATATGAGCATTCTCTATATTATCTGCTCAATTTTTCTGTAAATCCAAAATTGTTCCCCAAAGTAAAATCTATTAATAAAACATTTAAAGGAAACAGACCTAAAAGGCATATGCATATGTATAATTTAATGCTTAATAAATTGACATAAATATTTTTTAAAACCTAATATATGGTGACAGAAAGCAGATTAGTGGCTTGCCAGAAAGCGGTGATTAGTACTAGGAGAAGGGGATAGGATAGAATAGTATGAAGGGATTTAAAAAGTGGCATGAGGAACCTTTTGGAGGCAAAGGGTATGTTTATCATTTTAATTTCACAGGTATAACAACAAATTATATAATTTAAATATATGCAGTTTATTATATGACAACTATATCTCGATAATGTGGTTTTTCTCCAAACTATAGAAAAAAAACTTCCACATTTAAATCCTCTTCTCCAAAAACAGTCTTCAGGAATATTTGAAGTTAGCCCCATCACACCTGAATTTAATCAGTGAATTTTGTTTCATTCAACGATTCATACATTTGGGAAGTTCCTGTGCCAAAAATGCTAATCACTCAGCATCAAAATTTATGGAATAATGGTGATTTAGGACATGTTGGACATCTTTATTATTGTCTTCCCACGTTAAGATTTTCAATCTTTTGGAAACAACCTCCCGAGACATTCTGACAAGGGAATTATTATAACCAACCAAAATCAAGCCAAATACAGTTTGTCAGATTTAAAATGAAGCCAAGTGCCAATTTTACAGCAGCGACCGGGAAACCAAATTACATGGCATCTGACATTTAAAATCACACTCTTAAGAAGTCATTTGATGTCTTGGGTTTGGGTTACAGTACTTAACTTTGTAATACCAGGTAACCTTGTGCCTCAGTTTCCCCAGCTATGATATTGGGATAACAGTACCTATTTTGTGAGACTGCTAAAGGATTACAGTTAACACAGGTAAAGGGATTAGAAGACTACCTGGCAATGCTGTCCTGATTTTACAAATTCTATACATTGTGTGGCATTAGCCATCAGGAAAATATAAATAAATCAGTGAGATACCATTTCCTACACTTGGAGGGCTATAACAAAAAAGACAGATAAGAAGTGTTGTCAAAGATGTGAAGAAACTAGGACCCTTATACACTGCTGGTGGAAATGTAAGATGTACAATCATTTGAACCATAGTCTGGCAGTTCCTCTAAAGACTAAACCTAGAGTTACCATATGACCCAGGAATTGCACACCTACGTATATACCTGGAGAAAGGAAAATACATGCTGCATAAAAACTTGCACATGAATATTCATTAGCAGGATTTTTCATGGTAGCCAAAAGGTGTAAACAACCCAAATGTCCAACAATTGATGGAGATGGATAAATAAAATGTGGTTTATCCATACAATGAAATATTATTTGTCAATAAAAAGAGTGAAGAAGTACTGATTCATGTGGAACATGGATGAACTTTCATCCAAAATAGCCAAATCACAAGTACAAAAAGCATATTAGTGGCAGCTGGGAGATTTAGGCAGAAATGTGGAGTAACTGCTAGTGCATATTGAGATTTTAGAGTTATACTAATGTTACAAAATTAATAGTGGGTGATGGTTGCACAACTCTGAGTACATGAAAAATCAATGATTGATACTTTGAGTGAGTCATATGATATTGGAATTACACCTCAATAAAGCACGGTAACTGTTTTAAGATAGGCTGGAAAGAGAAAGCCTGAAAACAACAATAATGATATTAATAAATTAGTTTACTTCTCTAGTCTCATATACTTCTGTGCCCACACTTACTCCTGCTTTATTCAAAATGGTCCCCTTGCAGATGCCCTGTGAACATACTATACCTGCTTCCTGGAATTCTCTTTACCTTTCCTCTGTCTGCCTAACTCCCACATATCTAAAATTAATCAGAGTAAACCACTTGCTAGAACAATCAACTCCAAATCCTAGTGATCTAACATGATAAAGGTTTCTCACTCATGTAGCCCCTCCCCAGATGATCGAGGGGTCCAGGCTTCTCACCTCTAGTGGCTCCCCCACCTCCTAGAGTCTTCTGTATTTTCTATACACGGTTGAGATAAACTATGAGTCATTAGCATAGCTAGACCTTGAGGCCCTATAAGAAAATTTGCAAATCATTCACTCTGTTTTGAACAAGGTATATTTAAGATGATGTTAAAATACCCAATGGTCTTGGGTCAAATATAGTTTATGCCTGTTTATCTAAAATATATATTGCAATACTCTTCCCTTTCTCTGCTGACTTCATGAATTTAGAGGGGATTCATTTTTATGAGTTCAAAGATAATTACTTTTCAGACTAAGAATATTTAGGGAAAAAAGTACCGTTCAACATCTCTACTGAGGATCGTATCATGTAGCACAGGGTATAAGCTGGAGCTAAAGGAAACTTTCCTTAAAGTGCTATTTACTAAAAATTGGAACACATTCTTTAGGACAAATCAAAGTATGGCACACAACATCCAAACTTCCATCATAGGTACACAGGTGTGACCATCTCCCACTCCCAAATTTCTTTGTCACGCTGAGGATTACTCAAGAGGAGCAAGACATGTTGGTTGCAGCAGGAGAAACTTGAAAGCATTCACTTTTATGGAATGCATAAGGGAGAACATCTCTTAAAGTATTTAGAATCATCTTTGATACATTTATTATGTTAAAAGATAATGTAGTCAAATGTCTTCCTGTGTTAAATCTTTACAAAACTGAAATCTTAAAATGGTGACAAAAATTCTACTTCTGATAGAATCTATTCGTTTTTCCAATTAGATAGGGCATAATTCTTAATTTGCAAAACAAAATGGAATATGCTTATGAGGTTCCATCCCAAAGAACCTGCTATTGAGAGTAGCATTCAGAATAACGGGTGGAAATGCCAATTCCAGAGTTTCAGATCCTACCCCTAATTGGGGTAGGGAGGGGCTTTGGGCGGGGCCTCCCTAGAGGCGGAGGCGTTGTTAGAAAGCTGTCTGGCCAGTCCACAGCTGTCACTAATCGGGGTAAGCCTTGTTGTATTTGCGCGTGTGGGTGGCATTCTCAATGCGAACTAGCTTCACTTGTCATTTGAGTGAAATCTGCAACCCGAGGCGGCTAGTGCTCCCGCACTGCTGGGAACTGAGATCTTCGGGGATGACTGTCGCCCGAGGTAGGGAGCCAGCAGAGGCACGACCCTTCCTGGGAATGGGCTGTACTGAGAGGTCCGACTAGCCCCAGGGTTTTAGTGAGAGGGGCAGTGGAACTCAGCGAGGGATTGAGAGCTTCACAGCATGCACGAGTTTGATGCCAGAGAAAAAGTCGGGAGATAAAGGAGTCGCGTGTCCCTGAATTGCCGTCGCAGCCGCAGTCACTCAAGTGCCGGACTTGTGAGTACTCTGCGTCTCCAGTCCTCGGATAGAAGTCAGAGAACTCTCTTGCAGAACTCTCCGAGTTAGGAGACCAGATCCCTACAATAACTACTTTTTCTTGCGCTCCCCACTTGCCGCTCTCTGGGACAAACGACAGCCACCGTTCCCCTGACAACAGGATGGAGGCCAAGGGCAGGAGCTGACCAGCGCCGCCCTCCCGCGCCCCCCCCCCCCGACCCAGGAGGTGGAGATCCCTCCGGTCCAGCCACATTCAACACCCACTTTCTCCTCCCTCTGCCCCTATATTCCCGAAACCCCCTCCTCCTTCCCTTTTCCCTCCTCCCTGGAGACGGGGGAGGAGAAAAGGAGAGTCCAGGTCGTCATGACTGAGCTGAAGGCAAAGAGTCCCCGGGCTCCCCACGTGGCGGGCGGCCCGCCCTCCCCCGAGGTCGGATCTCCACTGCTGTGTCGCCCAGCCGCAGGCCCGTTCCAAGGGAGCCAGACCTCGGACACCTTGCCTGAAGTTTCGGCCATACCTATCTCCCTGGACGGGCTACTCTTCCCTCGGCCCTGCCAGGGACAGGACCCCCTAGACGAAAAGACGCAGGACCAACAGTCGCTGTCGGACGTGGAGGGCGCATATTCCAGAGCTGAAGCTACAAGGGGTACTGGAGGCAGCAGTTCTAGACCCCCAGAAAAGGACAGCGGACTGCTGGACAGTGTCTTGGACACTCTGTTGGCGCCCTCAGGTCCCGGGCAGAGCCAACCCAGCCCTCCCGCCTGCGAGGTCACCAGCTCTTGGTGCCTGTTTGGCCCCGAACTTCCTGAAGATCCACCGGCTGCCCCTGCCACCCCTGCCACCCAGAGGGTGTTGTCTCCGCTCATGAGCCGGTCCGGGAGCAAGGCTGGAGACAGCTCCGAGACGGCAGCTGCCCATAAGGTGCTGCCCCGGGGCCTGTCACCATCCCGGCAGCTGCTGCTCCCGGCCTCTGGGAGCCCTCATTGGTCCGGGGCCCCAGTGAAGCCGTCTCCGCTGCCCACTGCGGTGGAGGTTGAGGAGGAGGATGGCTCCGAGTCCGAGGACTCTGCGGGTCCGCTTCTGAAGGGCAAACCTCGGGCTCTGGGTGGCGCGGCGGCTGGAGGAGGAGCCGCGGCTGTCCCGCCGGGGGCAGCCGCAGGAGGCGTCGCTCTGGTTCCCAAGGAAGATTCCCGCTTCTCAGCGCCCAGGGTCGCCCTGGTGGAGCAGGACGCGCCCATGGCGCCCGGGCGCTCCCCGCTGGCCACCACGACGATGGATTTCACCCACGTGCCCATCCTGCCTCTCAATCACGCCTTATTGGCAGCCCGCACTCGGCAGCTGCTGGAAGAGGAGAGCTACGACGGTGGCGCCGGGGCCGCTAGCGCCTTTGCCCCGCCGCGGAGTTCACCCTCTGCCTCATCCACTCCGGTCGCTGTCGGCGACTTCCCCGACTGCGCGTACCCGCCCGACGCCGATCCCAAGGACGACGCGTACCCTCTCTATGGCGACTTCCAGCCGCCCGCTCTAAAGATCAAGGAGGAGGAGGAAGGCGCGGAGGTCTCCGCGCGCTCCCCGCGTTCCTACCTGGTGGCCGGTGCCAACCCCGCCGCCTTTCCGGATTTCCCGCTGGGGCCACCGCCCCCGCTGCCGCCGCGAGCGCCCCCATCCAGACCCGGGGAAGCGGCAGTGACGGCCGCACCAGCCGGTGCCTCAGTGTCATCCGCGTCCTCCTTGGGGTCGACCCTGGAGTGCATCCTGTACAAAGCGGAGGGCGCGCCGCCCCAGCAGGGCCCGTTCGCGCCGCCGCCCTGCAAGGCGCCGGGCGCGGGCGGCTGCCTGCTCCCGCGGGATGGCCTGCCCTCCACCTCCGCCTCTGCCGCCACCGCCGGGGCGGCCCCCGCGCTCTACCCTGCACTCGGCCTCAACGGGCTCCCGCAGCTCGGCTACCAGGCCGCCGTGCTCAAGGAGGGCCTGCAGCAGGTCTACCCGCCCTATCTCAACTACCTGAGGTGAGGGCCCGGGGCGGGGCGCGCCCAGCGCGTCCGGGAGTAGCGGTTCCGCTGGCGGCAGCCGCCAACCCTCAGCCCCAGCCCCGGCGCACCGCTGCGCTGCCCGGGGCGGCCGGAGGGGGTGGGCAGCGGGACACAGCACAGGGGCAGTTGCCTCCCTTCTTCTTCCCTCCTCTCCTCACTCTTGGGGACACGAAGGTGGGCGCAGAATATACTATTTTGGGGTCGTGCCTGCCTGAAAGCTATTTTTTTGTTTTTTGTTTTTTTAAACTTTCCGAATCTTCCAGATTCCGAAGCAGAACCAACCCTGATTTAAAACGTGCAGCGTCACACTAGGTCCGCTGTAGCCCAGCCGGGCAGAAAGTGCGCGGCGAGTTGGGGGCTTTATGAAATGCTTCTTGCTTAGAAGAAGGACGTTTACCAGGAGTGCCTGTCTTGGAGAGGAGTTAAGGCACCGTTGCCCCGGGAGGGGTGGGACTTGAGAGGTGGCCGGCCAGAACCGAAAGCTGCACCATCTTAGGGATTTGAACACTTTAATGGCTTTTCTTAAGAATCTCAAGATTAAAGTTAAGTTCACGTGGGAGATGTTTAAACTGTGGATTTAAACACCTATCACTGCATTGCACCGTTTTCTAATTATTGCTTGCGATTCACTACAACTTTTTTTTTTCATGCAGGTTTAAAAAACACTAATTTGCATACTGAAGTAATGGAATGTAAAAAAAAGAATGCTCTGTTTGGAATCTTATGTTGTGAATAGGCAAAACAGTGTCAGTGTATTGGACAATACTTTAAAATGACAAACATATACTTGTTTAAGTAAGCAATGATTACAGGGTTGTGTTTTAGAAACTCAAAACCAAAACATTGCAAAGTACCATCGAACTTTTAAAGCCAAATCATATTTGTTTTGACCCAGCATACACACAGGAAGGACATAACATTTCATTTGTCAAAGACTAAATCGTTTCTATATAAAGAGTTTTGTGGAAAGATTTCTTTTTAACTGACTTTAGCTTTCCAGAACATAATATTATACAGTAATAATTGTTCTTTTATATTGGTGCTACTGATGAATGGCTGATATTGAATCCAGTTACAGGTAGTCTATTACCAAGTTTAGTTTGCATGTCTTTCAAGTGTATATATACAGTTCTGTTTTTAAAATCTCCTTTCACCATGTCAATTCTGGTTTAAGAAACCTTTAGTATTAGATAGTGGTGCACTTAAAAATAAATGGAGTACTTTGTTTTGCATTTCAAGGCCGGATTCAGAAGCCAGCCAGAGCCCACAATACAGCTTCGAGTCATTACCTCAGAAGATTTGTTTAATCTGTGGGGATGAAGCATCAGGCTGTCATTATGGTGTCCTTACCTGTGGGAGCTGTAAGGTCTTCTTTAAAAGGGCAATGGAAGGTAGGCTCCTTTCCCCTGATCCTTTATTATTGCTTTAATTGTAAATGGAGATCATCTGTTATTGTATAGATTTCAATTATTCCTTGTTTCTTCTAAGAAATGGTGATATTTCCATATAATTTAAAATATATGATGACATTTAAACAATATGTTTTTATTTATGATACTCAAGATTGAATGTGGTTGGGTATTATAATAGCATACTCTTTGACTACACTTTCAGTATTAGACATAAGTCTTAAAAATCTTGAGGAAAGTGCTTCTATTGTTCCTTAACTGCTTAGCTTTCAGGAAACAGCTTCGTTCTAATAGTACTTTTATATATCTATTATGTAGCTATATATGTACGCAGTACTTTAAAATTTTGATTAAAAGAAAAATGGTAGTTGACACATATGTACCTGTATGCGTATACATATTTGCCTATACATACACGAACATATATCACAACATATATATGATGCAGTTAGTTTTCTACATGATACTGTCTTTTGACTACATGAATATTTATGTAATATTTACAAAATACTAATGCTAAACAAATTTTTAAATTCTCTTTTTGTTCAGTATATTTTTGTAAGTGTATAAGGACAGCATTAAACAGTTTAAAACAAAAAATCTGGCCATCACAGTAACACAATCTCTAAAGAAGTATTTTGCTTTAAGTAAAACTTTCATGTTTTTAAACTCATTGAACTTACATGCTTAATGATTTCAGCTTTACTTGCATAGTGTGTTTCAGACTTTTTCAAAGTAAATATTTTTTAATTTATTTCTACCTGAACTCTAAGCAGCCAAACATCTTTACAGTTGAAGATAAAAATACATTGAAAGAGTTCACATTTTAATACTAGCAATAAATGTGTTGTATAAGTATGTAAAATGGAGCTTAGGGTTCCCTCTGGAGTGCTGAGATCACACCTAGACAAGGAACCAAAGATCTGAATGTTGGCTTTTTGTCTCCTGTTCTGAGGTTGTTTATTTGTTTGTTTGTTTGAAAATCGCTCTGCTTACAAGCAGAAAAGCAGGGAATGGGAAATTTCACTTTAAGGGAGCTTTCAAAGGAGTTCTTCATAACAAATGTTTGTTTTGTATATTTTTAGAATATGATTTTTTTGTTTGTTTACAAAAGATGAATGTATTTTACTGATGTTGAACATATTCAGCTTCAGGGGGTTTGATTGCCTTTTAAACTAATTGAGGCAGTGTTAAAAGTGGTACTTGAGAAAATAGGGCAACTGAGAGTGGCTCTTACCCATTGACATAATTTATTTACAGTTACAGATGGAAGTTCTTTGTGTGAAAAAGTCAGTTTTCCAATGGGTAATTGGAGTTACCATTTTCATCTGACTTCGATTCTGGTTTCTTAAGCATTCCCTTCTACATTAATGTGATTTCCTCTAAAGTCTCCTAAGGATAGTATAATTTTATAAGTGAATGACTCCCTTAGAATCCCCTGAAGACCAATTTTTCCTACCCCAGCTCCTTCTTTTTAAAGATAAGCAAATCTCAAAGACATAAATATGAGTTTCCGAAGGTCACAAAACTAGTTAGTAGCTGATTGTTAGTAAACATAGGTTAAATATTTTTAAATTGCAGTTCTTGTAAATCAGAGACGATATGCAAAAGTAGATATATAAACTCTGTTTGATTCACAGAAGTTATTTCATAAAGTGCATATGTAGAGCAAAGAGCACCCTAACTCAAATACGAATGCTTTCTCATCATTTTGTTAGAATAGCATCCAAAACTGTGAGGAAGTCTTTCCAAATGTAATCTTAGAAAGCATTTGTTGGACTCTGGCTGTTGGCGTGGTCCTATAGTCTAGAGTAGTAGAAGTGAAGCACCTTTATTTAGCAATAATTACAAAGAATTACTTAAGATTTGATGCAGATAAATCATTCATGAAACTAGAACAAGATTGTGAACTATATTAGTAAATTCCTTCATTCAGCAATTTATGCTAGAGATATCCTTTGTCCCTGACTTCACTTTTCTCTGCCTTGAGATAAAATGAGGATAACAGTGGCTATTTCTTAGGGTTGCTATAAAGATTAAATGAACTGATGCTTGTAAAGTATGTAAAAGGCCTGACATATTATTAGTTTCCATTGGCATTTCTACTTTCAAGGAGCTTGTAATACAGTTAGGGAAATAACATATGCACATAAAACATCTAAATAAAGATTCTCAGTAAATGCCCAAGTAAGCAATTGTGTAATGTATATGAGATCTTTGTGGTTTGTGAGTTTTTGTATTTGGACAGAGCGAGGTGGTCATGGGCTGGAATATGTATATTCTTGAATGATGAAGAAGGCTTCATGGAAGATATGAACATTTGATTAGTAAAGGACAGATAAGATCTCTAGGCATCGAGGAGAACTTTAAGTGTATATAGTCAAAGAAGAGTGAAGAAATTAAGATTACGCTGACTAAGCGTTGAATGTTCACATTAGGAAATTGAGAGAGTTAAAGGTTGGGAAACTAGGTTGCTAGTGTTTGGGTGAATTTGGAGAATTGGAAATTTAAGGCAAGAGAATAAAGAGAAGGTTCCAGGAGTTTTCAGGAATGAGAAAGATAAGTAGAAGGACTTATACCAGGTTCAAAATCTTCAACAAAGCAATGCTGCGTGATGAGCTGGTTCACGGTGGTGCTATGTGTGGTTGCCAATATGGCCAGAAGTTTCAAGTCAACAGGCAACAATATGGATACTAATGTTGCCAAGATGATAATGAAAATGATGGCATTATAAAGTGCTTTCTCTGTGCCAGTGACTATTTCAGTGCTTTGCAGGTCTTAACTTATCTAATTGTTATAATGTTGATATTATTATTATTACTGCCACTTTACAAATGAAGAAACTAAGGTCTGTAGATGTTAAGCTGTCTTAATACACTTAGGAAATGGTAAAGTCAGGATTCAAATCCAGGTGTTATGAATCCAGAATCCCTGCCCTCCACCACTATGCTTCCTTTCTCATAATAGGAAATGCAGTCAAACAAAAAACAATAGAGGGTTCGAAGAAAAGATGTGAGCCAAGTGATGAAACATCTAGGAAGGTAAAAGTGAATCCTAAAGGAGAATGCAAGAGCAGGGGTAATGAGAAGTGTGTGGTATAAAACGATGGATCATATTAACTTCACATTTAAGGCAGCAATAAGAAGACATAAGCAAGAGCCAACAGTTTCTTCACCTCCTTCCCATGTTAGGGGTGGGAGGTGATAGAGCCTATAAAGTCATTCTGGATGACTGGGTTTCCCTTGATATGAGACAGAAGAGAGAAGAGATAAAGAAATAAGATACCACTCAGGAAATGGGAGAAAGGAGTTGGGAAAGATGATTTCTTTTAAGCTAACTGAACTGTTTAAAATATAGTATTGGTCAAAAACCAGTTGGTTGGATAGACCATTGCATTCCTTTACCAAGACTTATAGGTTTGGAGTGAACCAGGAAATGGTCAGGAATTGACTTAATGCCTTCTAAGGAGAGGAAGTAATAATGACCTGCCAGTCCTGCAAATGCAGACTACTAACCTGGTGTGATGAAGGAAAGGACAGTTTCTCAATGGCTTATCTTTGCCAGTACACAGTAACCAGCCCAGTGCTAGGAATATACTAGGCATCCAGTAAATAACAGCTACATGATCCAGTCATCATAACTGATAATGCCACACTTTTATTCTTTGGATGCTTTACTCAGTGACTGCATTTGTTGTGAATACGTTTGATGTGATATGATAAAACACATGCTATAATACAGTTGAAATGTATTACATAGAAGACACTAAGCTAAGTAGGTATTGATGGATTTTCAATTCTATTGCGATATTATCCTTATTTTATTCATATATTAATTGTTCATGAAGTAATTACCTTAATTACATTAGTTCATGTATGTATTGAGTACCTGCCATGCGCCAGGTACTATGGTAGGTGCTGGTGAAACCGCAGTAAAACAAGAGAGACCTTGCTGGCTATTGACTAAAGTTTATAGTGTAGTGGTGGAGAGAGAAATCTTACGGATTTGTGTACACATGACTAATTGCACGTGTGGTAAGTGATTTGTTTATGCAATGTTTGGACAACTAGAGAATTGACCCCTCTGTCAGATAATGGGGAAAGTTTTTCAGACCTAGACATCACAATAAATAGACTACAGAGGAAACTAGACAGAAATGAAATATTTTTATGAATAAAGTGTTTCTTTCAAAAGTTGAGTATACTTGGTGTCATAGGATAGTAATGAAAACTGGTTTGGTAGCATACTTCTCCTTGATACAGCATCAGAAAGAGAAATATTGAACATCCAATTTTTCATTAGCAACTTCTGTGATTTATTTGTTCTATATTTAGAGATCTGTAATGCTTTCTCCATCTTTTGTAGTGCACAGATTATCCAGCAATCTCTTCCACTGTAATCTATTTGAATAATATTTGGACTCTGAGAAGGTATTTTGCCAATAATCTTACTTAAATTCAATTACTCTCCAATAGAATTTACTCTATAATAGCTTTCACATTACCCTAAAAATAAATATGTAGTAATTCACTAGACTTTATTTCAAAACTCTATATCCAATTTCTTTTCAAGCTGAGGTCTCTCAGTTTAATATTTAGCATGGATAATGATAGACTGGTTTTACACACCATTTTACATTATGGTTCATTGAAATAAGCCTCTACTGTACTGAAAAAGAAATGGTCAGAAAGATAGCATTTGGTGTCATCTGTTCATATGTGGTTATTTAGATCTCCCAGATTATTAATACTCTTTTAACGTGTACCTTAATACCACTACTAGAGCCAGAGGAGAAGCAGTAGTATTAGCCATGCATGCTAGTGCTAGTAACTGCTCCTGTTCTGGCCACTGAATCATTGTACTTTCATTACTCAAGTAACACAACAGTCTGTCTCCTTTAAACAATGAAAATGTTACCAATAAGGCTTAAGTCCTCTTTGATCAATACCTCTAATCTGTTCCCTTGCCTACCATCTACCTCA